TTATGTTAAACAGTCGAGTCTTTTGTCTTGTTTTTTTCCTTTTCTTCCCACGCGATTCAAGTTCCGAGATTGGCTCGTGAAAAATACTTCTGTCCAGATGTTCAAATTTGTACAAGATTGTTGATTTGAAATGAATATAAATACATCTGACTTAAAAATTAAGTTTTTCTGGTATTTTTGAAAATAAGTATTTATTAAAACAATTAAAAATGATTCATAAATCCCTTCGAAAGCTTCAGCATAATAATGTATTGATACTTATGAATGGCAAAATCAGTAGAGCAATGAATATAACGTTTTGGTGTAAAGAAGTGGCATCCTGAACAAGAATTTTCAGTACGATATTCCGAATGTGAATCCTATTAAAAAGTAGAGCTTTCCTTAATTGAAATCTAATAGGCTTTCACTACGTAGAATTTTCATCAGTATCAGGGACAATGGATCCTAAACCTGATTTGTTTATACAAATAAATAAACTGGTTGTTCCTTGAAAAATATGTTTAAGGCGAATCTTCATATTGAAAGTAGAAATTTGTTTTCTTTTTCAGAACAAATTTTGTTTATCTCTTTCAAGTTTCGTTTTGCTATAATTGACTACTTTTTGCTTTTGTATCAGAGAGATGCATCTTGTTTTCTTAAAATTGTATTGCACCGAAACAATTTTTTTAAGAAGTTATCGTTGATTTTTGAATATTCAATGACGAATATTGCGTTACTGACAATGATTGAATTTCCAACTCGGTACAAACAATATCCAGGAATTCCTAATCGAATGCGCTTGAGAATCGATATTGACCGTATGCAGCATACGTAAACAACAGCAGCACAATATTCAGCATTGAATATGCAGCATTGAATCAGCGACGACTTCGTTAAAACATTGTTCCGGTACAACGTAACTTTTCGAAAGCAAGAGACGTTTTTCTAAAACAAAAGTCAAAGGTAGCCAATTACAACAAAACGAAACTCGAGTGAGGTAAAAAATGTACAATGGGAAGTCTCGAGTTTACGAGTGGATTGCACAAATGTATCTTCCAGCGATTCATTAAAAGCGAGAGTTTGCGTGTAAATACGCAATTGTAGAGAACACGAAGCGGCGGACAGGAGAGAGGAAGGGAGAGAGGGAGAGAGAGAGGGCCAGAGGAGGCGCACTAGCTAAAATAATGCCGCGGTCTAAACTGACTGGACGGATTCGTCCGAGAGTTGCGCGTGCTCTAATTAATTCTGTGTTGTTATTGTTGTTGAGGTGTGTCGTATCACGGCAAAGAAACATATTGCTATTGACGTGACGTAAAGAGCAGCGGTTCGTTTAATGTTAATGCGTGACCATAGAGCCAGGGCGCCGCTGGGAAAGTGCTAGGAGAAAAATCATAAAAATAAATTTGACCAGCGATAAGGTTTTGAATGGAACTGCTGGTCGCACTTGACCGTAGCGTTCGACCCAGTCTACGGCAAATAAATTTAGACAGCTAGCTTTGCGCAGAACCGCGCCCATGCGCGCGTTTATCCCAAATCCCTGCAGCTCTCCTAAAGACATTTACCAACTTGGCCGACCTCCCTGTCGCAAAACTAACTCTCTCTCTCTCTCCCTCTCTCTCTTTCTTTGTTTTCGCTTTGAAATCATTTAATTAGGACGCTCAAGCGCATCAACCTCGTCGAGGAAAATAATTATTCGTAGCTATACATCGCTGATTAAACGCTTTCCTTTCGCGAGAAATCATTTTTTTTTCGCTTGAGGAATGAAGAGGAAAAAATAGAAGAGTACGGTCAAAACGAGCCCCCGGCGACTCGGTCGCAAGCCAAATTTATTCCGCCGACTTTCTCTCTCGAGCGGCCTAACCCTTTTATCCGCCACGCCCGAAAGTAGTCCAGACCCGATAGCAATGCCCTTTCTTCCCTCCACGGTAATGCTTCGCTTAACCTTTACCGACGCTTGCACGTGCAGCACAAACTTCATAGCTGTCGTATAAAATCTAATTTTCCATATCTCAGATGTCGATTTTATTGAGAGCGCTTTGATCGTCGTGTCTGCCAGTCAAGGCCAAGGGTTTTTTTTTTCATTGCGTGTTGGAGGTAAAACGGAAAAGAAAAAAAAAAGAGGCCATGCCGTGCTCTTTCTCGGCCGACTTGACCTAATTTTGCGCTTGTGCCTTGCGCGCGAAATCTCTTTGGTACATAATGCTGAAATCACAATTCACGATTTTGCCCTTTTGGCGTGTAACTAGGAGGTTATAATGTCTCTTCTTTCTTGTTCTCCCACTCGGAGAATATTGCAAAGGCGATATTTGAGCTTCTTTGTAATCCTGTAGTCGTGAAATTTCTTTATTGCGGTATCCTGCGACTCTTCCAAGTACTGTGGCGTTGGTTAAACCGCTTTAAAGCAAAGCAAGCCTCGTGAAAACGCAAACAGGTTCGAGTTGCCAGAGCGAGTTATGCGGAGGCTGCATAACTGATTTGGCCACGCATGTGCAGCGGCAAGGCAGGCCAAAGTAAACTTTCGAATAGTTTACCTGCTTGCGTCGCGGCGTGTGTAGCATCGAGGGGAGGGGGACAAGAAGGAAGAGGCGACGAACGGCGCTCGTGCTGCCTCATTTGCATCGACCTCGTCGACAATTTCACGTTTCTCTCGCTCGCCTCCTCCTCCTCCTCTGATGAAAATCTTTTTCTTTGCACGACAGTCTCTATATTTCAACTGCTCTCGAGGTGACACAATGATCTTAATAACATTGCATCAGTTAGGTTTGTCAGCGTTCGAAGCAAGTTTTGAAATGAGGTAAAATTTTTGGGTGATACTGTGATGCATGATTGAGCGATAACTGCGGCGAACGCGAGTGTTCACATAAATATTGATGAAAACATAAATATTCGCCATGTTGCTCAGCGCTATGACAACTTCAACATTCAACATTTCCAAATTTCACCGTTCGAAAGGTTATCCCAATCCAATGGACGTTCTCGTGAAAAGTAATTTTGTTTTTCCGATGCCGGGCACCAGAGCAGCAATCCTATCAAGCTAACGCACATCGATCATTCATCAATAAGCAGAAAGAAAAATCAGTCCGAGGTGCAAGTTCATGGCGCATCCATATATATCGCAGCAAGCGAAGAGCCTAGTTTCGATCGGTGGAATGTATAGCGCAGCGCAGCAGCAGCAGCAGCAGCAGCAGCCTGATAAATATTAGCGCGCCGCAGGAGCCATACTGCATCTCCGCGGGAGGCAACGTCGATATACGACCGCTAAAAAATTCACTGAGCCACACTGTTTTCCGAAACTTCCGGGCTCGCCATGTTTACGCGCGCTTAAGTGCTTCTGCGATTGCTCGTCTGCTAATTAACGTGGATGCCTTTCAGACCTAATTAACCGACGACTGAAATTCGCTCGCATGATGGTATGGCGCGATGAAGTCTCTGTGGGGCTCGGGCATATTTCATTGTCGCCAAAAAATAAGAAGCACTATAACGAAGATCGCGACCTCCCGTGATGTGACTATGATAATCGGTGATTGAAAAAGGCGCCACGTCGAATTTTTTTTTTTCTGGATTTGGTATTATAGAAAAGACATAACTTCTGTTCAAGAACTGCAAGTCATGGTGGAAGCAATGTAGAGATTAAGATTTCTCTTATTAATGAACAATAACACAAGTTTTTTGTCATTTTTTTCAATCTTGAAAACGCTGATATATAGTATTCTATACTTACGATATCAAGAATCTCGGCAATAATATCATTAAAAGGAACTCACTTGTAACAAAAAAGAGGTCACACTTAATCATTTAGCTTTTCACGCAACTAATAAGTTAAAATAAAAATATAGCATTCGTAATCATGAAAAAGTATTAAAATTTCAGTTTTCATCCTCCCACAGCAACGTAGAGTCATATCTTTAATTCCTCTAAGAATCACGCCAATTCCCCAAGGGGCGTGTTAGGTAGCCTAAACAAGCGTAGACGCCTCACGAGTTCTAGCGTACCCGGTAAAATTAATTAATTACCCGCTGCTGAGTAGCAGCGGGGCAATGAAATCTGTTCGGGACGTTTGCCCGTATGTATAAGGAAGTTTCCAACTTTGACGTTCTCGCGAACTTTGAAATACAAGGACGTAAGTAACTACAGCTTAATAAACCTTTGATCGCTAGCTTCGCAGCCAATTGGACTTACTTTCGATGACATTGTGGATTTCATCGATTCATTCATAGATAATGGATAATTCATGGCGTAAACTTCGTGCCGTTCAACGATTTTATAAACTCAGCTTTCGAACATCAATTTGTTCAACGCATGCTGCGATAAACATGTGTTACTACACTTTCACAGTTATCACCGATATGTCACACAACGATATTTGCACAATTTTAGCATGTTTCTTGCCTCGATTCTTCAAAATCCCAAAGAAAGATCAAGCTCGTCGCCTGTCTCGAGCAGGAGGCTCGTAATAATCACGATAATGAATCAATCAAAGTAGCGTAGCGTCGCAGTTAACCAAAGTTACTAGCGATTGCCGTTTCGAGTTGCACAGCAGTTAACGCAACTTTTGCGCAGGATCAATTGTCCAACGTCACTGGCGCAGTCTGTAATTACGAGCCTCGATCGCTGGGTACTCGAATTCGAAGCGGCGCAAAATTCAAGTGGGGACCTACAATGCTACCGGAGTCGAGTGTCTTTTGGATGCTTCAAAAAGTCGAAATGCAGACGGATGCGCATCGGTTCTTATCGGTCGAAATTCCAATTCCACTCGTACTTTCAGTGAAATCTTTGGTGTTGACACCACGAAAGGTCTATAGGTCGGGTTCCCGTGTATAACGTTCAATGTCCTTAACCAAACTTCTTTTCAGTAGAATGATCGAGTGACGATGACGGTACAGGTGCGTCGTAACAATTAAAATTATAGAACAAGGACGCGCGTACGGCATTATGGATTTCTGGTATCATGAATATTAAATGCTCGGTGGAACAGCGACGTTGCGAGGCAGTTGGCCGTCAGCAACGGATTCGCCGAGACCATGGAGATGTACAACGGTCGTTATTTTGTTCTGAACAAAGGATTTCTCACCATGATGGGTCTTTGGCCGTACAACGACTGGAAACGATACATAATTAGGAGTATATTTACAGCTATGACCTTAATTTTTAGCACTCCTCATGTAAGCATGAATTTATTAGACGTCGTCGACACTGCTGGTTATTAAACGTGACAAACACTGCTTTCTTTCCTTCTCGGTAAGGTTATTGGCATAATACTAGATATAAAGGACACTGACAAACTTCTGGACCACCTAACAGCAGTGCTGTTTCTGACAGCTATGTTTTTCAAATTGCTTATAATTAGCGTGTCCGATATCAAGGTATTCGTGTATGTATTTGTTTGATCAGTCGCCAGTATGGCGTGCGTCAGTTGTCATTTCTTTCAAGATGCGAATCATGTGGGATGCGATTGTCGAGAACTGGGCTTTAATTGCCGTCCCCGAGGAAGTGAAAATCATGATCGAAACTGGAGAGAGAGGTCGAAAACTGACGATCGCTTATGCAGGTATCAATACACCTTATGGTTAATTGCTAACGCTGACCATATTCATCGTCCTCTGATGCTTGTAGGAATGATATTTGGAAGTGGGTCGTTCTTCATTATGCTGCCTCTATTACCAACGCTCCTGGACAAAGTGAAGCCATTGCCAACTCCTCGCGATACTTTGAGTATTCTCAACGGCGAGTTTCTGGTCGAAAACAAGGAGGCGTATTACTGGCTATTTTATTTGTCGGATGCTTTGTCGGTATTGCTGGTGACGCTGATCGTCGTGGTAATCGATACAGCGTACATAGTTTGCGTTGAACACTGCGTAGGATTATTTGCCATTATCAAGTGAAGTATCGATCATTTTTCGGACAAACTTTTTGGATATATCTATTTCACTGGCAGTACTCAAATAAGCTCGGTTTCACCGATCCCTTTACAAACAGATTTGTCGTATATGTGTGTGTGTGTGTGTGTGTGTGTGTGTGTGTGTGTGTGTATTTAGTTAGAGTACTAATGAATCCCAAATTGAAAATGCATTACAGGTACCGCTTGCAACAGCCCAATCGATTAGCATACGATGATTCACGAGGAATGGATGAGGCGTATACATATATGTCTAAAATTATACAATTACATCAGAGAGTTTTAGAGTTAAGCTCCACATTGATTTTATTTATAATTTAATATACGTAATGAACGTTGAACGTTAACTGGTATGTGTTCCAGCTTTTCAATTATCCTCGGGGACTCTTATTCTATGTGCTTTTTCGTACTAATGTTGTTCCACGTTGTGCAATTGCCTACTGTTAGTGTATTGGTAAGTGGTTATTAGAATCAGCAGGTTGAATCACTATTGACTATACGATGATGAAAAGGCACGAAAAGTGAAGAGAATTTTTTTGAAATCCAGATACTTATAAATCTTCACCAACCAGTGCATTTATTTCGATACGTTTTTGTCTTTCTCGCCTTGACTGTACATCAGTTAGCTCTTCACTGGGCGGCGCAAAGGCTTTCCGACGCCAGTGAAAATATCTTTACCGATTCGTAAGTTCTCGCGAGAAATTTTTCAGTCCTTTTTTTTTACTAACGACGCGCGCTCTTCAGATACTGCAACGAATGGTATTCGAGCTCTCTCCGAACGAGGAAATTACTTTCGTTCTTAATGTTCCGATGCGTCAAGCCTGCAGTGATAAGTGCAGGTGGAATAATTGACATGGGTATGGCAACCTTCTACGGGGTACGTTTTAGTAAACTAATATGCACTGACAACATTTCTTCGAGTTACGTCGCGTTACACCAATCATTTCTCGAACTTTGCACTTCAGGTGACCAGCAAGGCGATATCGTACATCACTGTGCTTGGCTCGTTCCGTTGAGTCAGCCTTTATTATGTGCACATGCGTATGTAATACCTGCTGGCGACACTGGTAGTACGTATTAAAAATTCAAGACTATCGTAAAAACTGAAATGATGCTAAGCGCAGATAATTATTTGGTTACGTGTGTCCATGTTTCTTGTTAATCCAATCCTTTTAGTTACTTTTTAATCATTCCACTGTATTAACATTCAAGTCTACAGTTCCCGAGGGAATTGTCACTGTAGCTATGTAATTACAATTTCTTTTACGACGTTTTTTCAACCATCAGAATTTGACCGTTTATATTTCACTTAGTTTATATTTCGTATTTCCTCTTTACATTTATACACTGATATATAAAGATGAAAAATAGATAAATAGTACCTATTGATAATTTGATTTAGATAATATGGCTTAGAAACTTGAACTTATTTAACTGTTTTAATGAGAGTGCCAGAAGAGACGCCGCAGAATTCAAAAGATTGATCCAATGCCACTTTCAAGAAGATTCCATTGTATTTTTAAATGATTTAGAGCCGAATAATATCGTTATTTAATGGATTCTAAGGCAGTGAATTAATGATTATTACTCTGTTATCATGTCTTTGTTAAAATCGCCTTCTGTAAATTTTGTAGTGGCATTAGAATATACGATTCGTTTAATATATAGTCTGTAATGAAAATTGTTTTACTCGATCGTAAATCTTTATCTACGAATTGCAAGCCAGATGTCAAATGGAATAATACAATAAATATCGAGAGCAGCATGACATTTCAGCATTTGAAGCCCGGAACGTTGACCCAGCGAAAAAGCAAACACTGGAAAGAGCAGCTCGAACAAACGCGAATGCAGCAGTCGCAGCGTGCTATTCGTGAAAGCATAGGCATGGTACAGCACTATTCCAAGCTCTGCCCCGCGGGCTGACGCTATAACGCAGCCTAGTAGCAGATAAGAACGAATGCCGTAGTAGTCTCGCCGCTGGGATTACGTCGTGTTTAACGCGGGATTATAGCCTTTCCATTTGCTCTGCTCACCGCGACTCCCGATGTTTACCTTTGCCTCATTTTACACCTAGACTCATTTTTGGCCGTTCTCCCATCAGCACGGAGAGAATTTATAGCCGTTGCTGCAATGCGAATTCAGATAAATCCCGAATGTTTCTATTCATTGGTTGCTGCTGCATTCACTGAGACTCGCCGGCAAATTGATTGCTACGAAATAATTACAGCGAAAGGATGCGTTTTAGTATTTGCGACCGAAAATTTACAACGTTTTCGCACTGAGTTCGAAAATTAGGGGATCAATATCTCCACGCAATTGCAATGTCCAGTCGTTGCTTTGCTACCGGAAAAAAACAAAAAAATCAAGCGACAGCGGCAGTAAAGACTTGTAGCTTTAAAAAAGTACAAGATAGTTCAAACGAGAAGAATAATGGGGAAACCCGTAAGACGTATAAAAGAGAAAAGTTGGGGCACACGCGTGCGACATAACTTGTGGACGCTAAAATTTTTACCGTGCGGTCGTGAGAGCTTTCATTCTTGCGCGACTAGTCAACTGCGACTCGTAAAAATTATACCGTTCAACGTTGAAGGGACGGGCAATATTTTGAAAAATACGCGATGCAGCTGCCGCGAAACCCCGTGCGCATCTTCGTTCCTTATATTTCGGAAGGAAGGGAAAAAATTATTCTCAAGTACTCGTCGTTTTTCTTTCCTTTTTTTTTCTTTTTCCACTAGTAGATGGTAAAAGACACCTTTGCTCGCGCTCATCCTTGGGGCAAATATTGGAGCTGTGAAATTCAGTTTCGAACCGAGTTTTCCGACTTTCGTTCGCGTGCTTGATCCAGATTTTACGCGCGATCTTGCCGACAAACATGCTACAACTGACTACATCGCGTCATAATGTGAGACAACGTGACGCGCAGCAGCGCAATTTCGAAAAGCGAAACGCGAGCAGCACGACGGAAGCCGAGTACATTCGCATGGGGAATTTGTTATCTTTCGATCTGAAATCCAAGCAGTTTCTTTCGGCTGAAAAATATTTGGCCTGGCTTGGGCCAATAACGGGGCACATTTTGCAGGCGTATGCCAGACGATAGCCTTCCGTGGGAATCGCGCTGAACAAGCGTTGACATTAATTTCTTCGGCTGAATAACGATGGCCGGGCGCGAGTTTTGCATTTGAATCGAGGATTAAGCTTCACCTGGGGAACGCGTGCTCGTTATATCGATGAGAGCGATCGACGCCGAGCGATCGAACCAACAACTTTGGTTCAGGCGCGCGAGATGAACAATCGCTGTACGATATACAACACGACGTTTTAATTACACTTAATTATTCATGATTGCTTCACCAATATCCAACTTTCAATGCCGTCAGCGACGAATTGCGACGTTCGAGCACTGATTGTTTTGTTGATGCGATTGTTATTTCGTATATCATCAGACATATACATAAACGAATAGTGTATGTTTGACGATTACGAGATATGCATTTAAAACGACTGATCATGCGACACATATTTCGAAAGATGAACGTTTGCTCGTTGATGTTTTGCCATTGTCAATTGGGCTAACGACAGTTTCTCTTCACTCGGGAGCCAAACGATAGGAGCGAATTGCAAGAACGCTAGAGAAAAAAAAGAAGTCCAATCTCGTTACGAAAGAAATATCGCTACTTCGTTCTCCGGAGGACAAAACGAACAGAAGAGAATAATTGGAGGTTCGATGCTGCAGAGAATTAAACAGCAAATCGGCACCCGTAACGATGCAGATCGTCCTATTCGCGTGCAAGATCAATAGGATCCACTTTTGCCAGCAATCTGGCGCTAATGATTCTACGATTAACTTGGGGATATGTAGGTCACAAAGTAAGCGAGATCCACCGCTTATAAAAGAAACAACCGGTGTAACAATGCGTAAGAGTGAAGAAAAAAAGTGGAGTGTAATGGATCGACAAGTAGAATGGTAGCTTTTGCTCGTAATCCGCGAACTTTTGGCTCAATAACCGAAACAAAATGTACTACAGGCAATGGATAAGAATAGACGCGCTCCCGATTTATTGTCCTCGGATTTTGCCGTGCTGACTATTTTTGACATTGGCTAAGAATACGTGTGTGGATTGCAATGATCGATTTCTGTCAAACTATTAGTATTTGTAAAAATCAACCTGTAATTAACTTATTTTTCATACTGTTATTTCTCAACTGAAACTTTTTATGGATGATCGGTGATATTCTAAGCTTTCAGTTCGACAATTCGAAATATATATTTAAAAGAGAAAGACGTAAAAAAAATTCATGTCATTGAAGGAAGTCCGAAATCACCGTATTATTGTATAAATAGTGCCGGACGCTGTCGCGATTTCGTGCCTATTCGCAGCTACCACGTCACTTGATTTCAATTCTGCTGATGGATTAGATTGTAACTGAAAAAATTTTTTGACTTTCTCTATTGATCTATTTAAATTTACGTTATAGCCTAAAAATGGCAAACAACACTGAGGAAATCCAAATCTAAACCGTTCATTAGTTATACTCTCTTTTATGCGACCTCTAACAAAAAGGTTATTTTTTGGAAATTTCAACTTGAACGCAATTGCATCCCAAAAGAGAAAAAATTATTAAGTATATGACGCCACGGAAAGAGCAGCGGTCAAACTTTATTTTTTCAAAGTTTGAGTTAAACTAAACGTAAAAGCATCTGATTTGAAGGTGATAATAATATGCGCTATAATGCTGTAAAAGAAAAGAAAGTATGATCGATGTAAATATTAAAGTTACTGTTCAGTTGATTATTCGATTGCAATATTTTTATATTTCGGATCAATGCAAAGTATTGTTAGAGATTAGTTAAATATTAGTCTGGTATTTTGAAACAAAAATTCATTGTTTTCAATGTCACATTATATCTTTAAATCTTGATGGTAATAAATTGAACTAGTTTCATTCGCCTTACGAAAGCATTGTCAATTCCGTTTGCGGTTTCTATCAATGAATGAACATTAATTTTTCATCCCACTGCGCATGCAGTAGCGGCTGTACGCCCTCCGGGCAGGGAGGACATAGTACCGTATTCTTTGACACAGCGATGTGACTCCACGGGGGTATGATGAAAAATTGTATACGCAACATGGCAGTACAAGTAGGTGAGCATGTACTGTGTGAAATGCTGACCTCGCTTCGGTACTGTGCTCCCTAGTGGCATAATGTACTCGTAAATCGAAATTTCATTCGGTAAAATCCTCGAGATCTTTTTCTAATTGAAAATAGGAAAACAAATTAAGATTGATCAATGAAAAATCACGAATGTTGCAATTCATAACGTTATTTGGCGCGACAGCTAATTGAATCTCATGCAGGACGTGGCCCACGTACGATGCGCGCCACACGCGACAATATGAATTGTAAAGAGGCGCGAAATAGAGCGAGAGAGATACGTGGCATAGACAGACGACCTGACGAAGGAGTGTAGAGTTAGATGGCCGAGGCAAGAGGATTTTAAACACATCAATCGTAGCGAGACTCTGGGCAATGCGTGTCACTGTACCGCAGCGACAACATACGTGGCCGTAAGTAATAAATACCAATTTCTATGTACTCGCTTGTCGTTGTCTAATGTGCTATATTTGAGAAAGCAGCTATTTCAGATATTCTATTAATTTCAAGGGCCAGGTCATCAATAGTGCAATTTTAGACAGTAGTGGTTTATTGCTATGTTTTTGTTTTGCGTGAGAATATCAATGTCTGCATTTGTTTATCCGCAGCTGGCCGAATGAATTATTCACGCACCACTGATCGAAAATCAGCCCGACTCTCACGACTTACAAATAATTGATGTTACTCATCAAATTAAAGTGCGTAAATCAATATCGAAGTAATCAAGGTACACCAGTTATGCAGCGAAGGTCTGTCAAACGATTTAGTTTTATTTCATAAATTATTATTATTTATTATTATTATTTATCAACTATTATTAATTATTATTGTTTTAGGTAGAGTTTAATGGACCATATGAGTAGATAAACATATGAAACGAGCACGCGCGCACGTACATACTCACACAGTCTGCTACGCTGAACATAAAAATTTCACAATTCCCACAAGTGGAATAACTTTCAACGGCTGATGAATAAATGATTTTGTAAGTATAGAGCGCGTTGTAAAGAAAAGTAGCTAAGCAAAAATTAAAAATACCAAAAGAAATATTACTTTAATCAGTAACAGCATTGAGTGGCGTGTTCGTGCCCCGTGAAGAAACGTCCAGCAATGGTTCATGGTTTCATAAGCATCTTTCAGAGATACAGGAGCAAAGTGACTTTGGAACCAAAAAATCATACAATGCCCACTTCTTCTTCTTACTGTGATGCATTATCTTATTTTCCCTCTTTATTTCGTTAATACGCGAGGTATTGGGTATGATTTTCTTGTACTATTACAGAAGAATATTGCACCGAATCGGGCAAGTTACTGCACATATATTACAAATGCTCTATCGTTTAACGCTCGTGAATTTGTTGTTCGACGTAGAGATTAAATTGTCCACCTCGAAAGATGACGAAGAAATCTTCGTTAAAGAACAAATGTCAATATTGCTAAGGCTGCATATTAACAGATGGATACGCTGTTATTAAAAAGCATTGCTATGTTATTGAATGACCAGTGACATTTTCTCATTTTCTTATTTGAGAGACATCGAAGGAGTATTGAATAGAGTACATAAATAGATATCTTTTCTACACTATTAATTATCAAACTTCCTTAAATACAACTATTATATATATATTGATAATTAACAGCATAAATAAATATCATGAGGTTTTAATTTGTTAGTCAATGAAATATTATATTTACAGGAATCAACGAAACATGATAAGATAATGCAATTATTCAAATATTTTTCACACTACTGTAAAACAATCAGTAAATTCACATCCTGGTCGTAAAATCTGTCAAACAAATTATGCAGCCGATGGCCGCACTAATATTATTCATGAGTAGTACAAGATCAAAATTAGTCAGACGTCTACTTTGTCAACAAAATCCTCATACATCATAATCGATGAACCAATCAAATAACGGCAAATCCTCGAAATCCTCGAGCGCATAAATAAAAGTAGCAGTCTCGCGGGAGTGAATGGCCAAACGTGCATCGGAAAAATGCGAGCTCAGCTTCTATAGAGCCATCGAAAACAATGAACATAACGCCCCACGAAGAAGTAAAGAAAAGTAGATGCGCGAAGTTTATATTCGTTTGGACGTTGGGTTTTATCTCTTCGCGACAGCGTCCAACAGAAGGATCCGATGTATCAAACCACGAGAACTCATTTTCTCTCCGTTGTTCTCGGTTTATCGCGACAACGGACGAATCGTAAATAAAAATAATCGATTGACCGTGGACCATGACGATGTTACGGGAACGATCTGGCGCCGCACATTCCTTTTTGCGGGCTCGTTCGAAAAAAGTTTAGTTTTTTAATATTGTATCGAGATCTTGCTCGTTCATATAAGCGTTCATTTGACTGTTGGCAAACAAGAGCGTCGGATAATTCCATTTGACTACCTTTTAATTTGTCCCGTGAGTTTTGAGATTCAGTGGCTGTAGCAGAGAACCTTTGAAAAGCGCGTCAGGTGTGCGTACTTCCCAATTTCATCTAACAGAAAGAGAGAGAGAGAGAGAGAGAAAGAGAGAAGAACGTCAATGAATTTCAAATTTACCCAGGAAAAAGAGATCAAATCTAGAGAGTGAATGAAATGAAGCTTTCACGCAACCGAATTTCCCACCGAGTTTGATGCTGTTGCCTTCTTTTCATCTACGACTGGATGATTTAGTCGACTGTCTATTTGTGTCATTTTTATATTATTTTGATTTTGCGTAGAGCCGCTATAGCCACCGATTTTCAAGTATTGAACGATTTTCCATACGGCTAGATGTTCAGAAAAGCATGTTGGAATAAATGAGTTCGAAGTGACGTCCGCGCTAGCGACCATGTGCTTCTACGCGAAGTGAATTGAAGCTCTGGGTTTAAACATCCGCGCTAAGATTTCCCAAGTGAATTTCCAAGCTTATTTCCTCTCGGGGTCCGTAGTCGTCTGTTTTTTCCCCTTTCTCTCTTCTTGCCTCGAGATGCGACGAGCTACAGCGGCGACGATCGATCAATGCCGACGATTGACTGGCTCTTACGTAAGCTGGGCTCTAAGATTTTGCGGCGCTTCATAAAGGAGTGGCGCTAGCGCAAACGTGTTATCTCACCTGAAAATTTTCTAAAAATCGCAGCGTGTTATTCAGCTGATCATAAAGAAGTTTTTCCGAAGTGCAAGTACTTCGAGTTCGATGATTATTATATTTTTTCATGATTCGTCAATGACTAGCATTGTCGACGATTTAGATCCCACAATAATAAATCAACAATAATGCGGAAAACGAAATGTACTGATTAAAATAACGATTTAATTTACGTGACAACTGCGCAGGATCAATAACCAAGATAGTACGTCGGAAAACCTCGTTGCGAAGAATTTCCCATCCGAGAATAACAATTGCGCGACCCTTCAAACTTCACACACGATTGTTACCATCGTCTTTGGCACCAAACACAAAAACAGCGCTTTCTCGCGACTGGCATTAAATTAATTGACTCGCATTTGGCAACAAACAAACACGCCGTTATTCATAGATGCGCAAACGAGTCACGTGCGCGCGCGTCGAGGGTGATTAATTTTCATTTGCGTTTGCAATGCATCGTCTAGTATGCGCATACGCACGCGTATTTTGGCCGTTGTTTCATGGCTAAAATTAACCGTCGTGTGGTTCAGTGCGTCGATGTATTTTAGTGCGTTTTCTCTTTTAATGTTTCATTCTTATCATTAACGAGTTTTATGTTGAAGGTTATTGTCAAATGTACAATCGTTATACGTTTGATAAAATTGTATCTATCCGTTGACATAGTTATTGATTTTTTTACTACTTGAATCGTATTATGAATATTGTAATATTAGTGCTGGTGAAGTTTTGAAGTTTCTTTGACCTACACTTCAAGTTAACAATATGAAACATATAATTTACTACGAATTTGCATAAATACATAAGTGTACTACGCTTTCTTACTATATCCAGAAAGTTATTCTATGTTTTAGAAAATTCCTCTCTGTAATCGGTTAATATATGAATAAACTAAAAATTCCTTATTCTCGACTCTGACATGTTTTTTTCGAACCCGTGCAAACCAACTCTGGTATGAGCTTTCGTTAAAGAAAGTTATGTTGACGACTGCGAAACATATCGTCGAGTATTCACGGGCTTTCGTCACGCGGCAAATATATTTTAGGAGTCGGAGAACGAAGAGGGTGCTTCGCTGTCTAACCGCCGAGCACGCATCATTCACGTGATATTCGCCCCGGCGCTCACCCATCATATAATTGCGGCTCTATTACCGACGTCACGGCGCGTTCGACGTCAAGGTTGAGCGCGTCTTTAAAAGGAAGTCCCGAGGAACATCGGAAATTTGCGTTCGCGCTTTATCTGCATTCGGCGAGTATTATTAGTTGCAGGTATCGAAAGCTCATAGGATTTTGGGTGAAAGCTCCGACGATAATACTTCTCGTCCTACACGGGCTGTAGCATTAACGGAAAGTCCGCTTCACGCGAATCGTTCGAGCAAAATTTTTTACGGCTCTGCGTTTCTCGCGGCTCGAGTTTCGTGTTATGGTTAACGACGAAATTATTAAAAATATATCCCTTTATGTCAGACTTCTCTAATGATTCGTGTATGGCGAACGCACTTTCAAAATATCGAATTGTGAATTGTGAAGGAGAGAAAGAGAGAATACGATACCGCACGTCTAAACCAGTATAATCTCAGTTTCTGTCGCTCGTAGGCACTTGACAATTAGATGCGTGCGTATTGGGTGGTGGCTCGCCGACCGAGCATGGTCGGACTTACCCGAGCTCGGTCACAATGCTCCCCCCTTTTTCTCACTGTTTCACTCACTTGCTGTCTATTCGCTAGTCCGTGCTATGCGACCTTAGCACAAACAGCAAATCTATCAGTTTTAATATTGCGTCTAATTAAAACTGTAATGAGTCGTAAGATAGTACATACAAGTTCGTGCGATGAAGTTAATCGATTCATTTTCCTGACTGCTAAACCTATTATCACCTCCCGGTGGGCAATACGCGTTATGCTTTTGATTTACCAAGCATCCATATACAATCAAAGTTTGACCGTCATGTTTTACTGAGTATTACACGGCAAGTTTGCACAACGTTAATGTTTCAGTCGAAAATATGATCGCTCAATGGATTGGGATAAAGCGTACCGAACCATTGCGTCACGTTTGTTTTCACTTTTTACCTCGCAATTTTTATTTTTGATCGGCACATTTCGAACCCATTTGAAACCTCTTGACGCGAAAATCAGTAGGTATTTTCACCGGAAGTACGTCCACGCGAACCGAAGAAAAAAAATCACGAATAAAGTGAGAAATGTGGCTTTCAAGGGTTAAAAATGTCGCGAAGGAAAAAAATTCGCAGAAGTGAGAAATGCTTTCATATTAATCTGTCTCTTGGTAAAAATCAAAAAGAACCCAGTGACCTTTATATCGAGAGCCGCTGAACTAGCGTAAAAAGAAAGAGAAAAGAAGAAAACACCGACAACAAAGCCTTGCGCGAATGCACTGCGGACAGATCAGTCCCCGCGTTCTCGCTAGGGAGGCTGCGCGCGGGTGTGAGTATAACGCGGGGTGATGGTGGGGACGGGGGAGGATCTTCTGGCTCGAGGGAGCGAGAGCCTCGCTTTCCGGCAGTACTCTCTCGTCCCGCGAGCGCGACGCGAGTGGAGAGCAAGACAGCGCGTCGCTTGTAACATTTTACCATCGGCAATCGTTTCGTTTTCTGGTGGCGGCAGTGCGTCGGAGGATAAAGTCTTGTCCACGACGAGTGCAGCGAGAAAGCATGATTTTTAGTGTCAGCTGAAGAGGCGTCGATAATGCTGCTGTGTCCTGCCGTTCCAGCGATTCATCAATGATCGGTACATCATCGTGAAAACGTACGAGCGACAACTGCGGGCGCGTTGCGAGCGATAATGCCAAGCGAACGCACGGTGTGATCGCGAGCGCGCTCTAAGGACGTGTACGGCTTTCCGTGCACTGCGAGCCGCGCCTGAAAAATCGACGCCGGTTACCTCCTTCCGCCCAATCAGCTCTCTTGGTGCTCGCTTCATCGTCTCCATGTGTTGGCGCTTTCAGCGCGACATTTCGTTTTGAATCATTACCAATGAAACTAGATCAAAAAAGCATAACTACGTAGGGGCCAGTTGAGTAAAGTTGGTCTAAGTGAAACTTCCAAGGTAACTGTTGTGCTGACTATCTATGGAAAATCACTCTGATCAATTGGCTCACGTTACAAGACTGCAAACGTTAAGGGGATCGAAATCCACTATAATAGTCCCTTCCATCTGCCAAAGTGCTTCATTTTATTTTTTAATTGTTTTGCTAGTCAACCCTCTGATCATAAGCTAAAAATCAACATAGCAACAAGATCAATGTGACATGATTATCCGATAACACGCAACGGGACGATAGATGTTAATAATGGACATTGACAGATTAGAAAGTTCTGCCTTTGTGTTTGCGAAATGTCGGGTGTGTCCTATATTTTAGCTAAAATACTATTTAATCTAGGCAGGATCTATTTTGGCTTCTGAGTTGTATTTAGAAGTTTCGAAACAAAGTTCTTGGGGAGGGATAAAATTGCGAAACTACCTCTGCCGCTTCCGTGTCATTTGACCAAAAGCCAGTTTTCCGCGGAAAATATGCAAGCGCAAACGAGATAGGTGATAAATTGGAATTACAAATGGTGATAAATGTAGAAAAATAATACATCGATCATCGTCACAGGAAACAGCTCCTTTTTTATTTCATTTCATACCGCTTCTGTATAAATATATCCGCGTCCAGACTGAACTTAATGGAATCACACTATCACGGTTGATCGCTCGACCGTGAATTTTCTCCGATAAAAATGATTGCGTGCATACGACCGCGCGCGTACATATCGAGCATATTGCGGCAGTTCATTCTTTATTCCATCGAGAAATAAATACAAAAGGCAGAGACCAACAAGGCACGCCGAAGTTTTGCACGAGCGTCCAAGTTGCGAGCAAGAATACAGGGCAAGTGTACCGTCTCGTCGCGGTGTTCGCAACTTTTGCCCCGCACTTGTCCCTGTTTTTTTCCACCTAGTTGACCAGTTTATAATAAAGTAAGGCACTTCTGCAAACAACTATTCTTCCATAATTTATTATTCTCCAAAGCTTACATGTCAACGGATACGTTCCGTCTACTCGAAGAAAAATTCCTACGTAATAAGTGTGTATTTCCGTTTGAAAAGATGAACGAGGATAACACGTACGAATCACTATGCATTAATTGGTTTCGTTGAAATGAAGGTTGCCAAATTCTTTTCACATCCAAATAGATGCAGCATCGTAACAGTCTAGTTGAGCATTCCATTTGTTGTTTATCGTCGACTCGACGGCGAAAGCGCGGGAAATCATCGGCAATAGGACACAAACGCACCTCGAGAGCAATGCGACGCGACGCAACATATTACATGAGAAGACAGCGAGAACGATAAGCTCGTAACATCGCGCGCACAAGGGTGTCGGAGGTATGCATATTCGTGCTCACAGAAGGACGAGTGCTCGGCGTGCAGCGATTACTGTCGCCAGTCAGTTTGACTCTGCAGCCGAAGCCGCCGCCAGCGTGCTAACTTCCGTACGGCGAGAGTGGGCCCGGGGATTAGTCTCACGTGCCAACTCCAGTTCTCCGGCTTAAGCCGCGATTGGATGAGTTCTCGACCTCAAAGGCCGTCCTCGCCCTCTTTATCTCCATCACGTATAGTTATTTTACATCTATTACGAGGTTCGGCCTAGACAATCATTTCGTTGATATTTTAACAGTCGGATTGTCACGAGTAGAAACAAAATTTTATTATTCATGCTGCGACGCTTGTCGGATATTGAATTACTGGGTTTACTATGAATTTTATTAACTTAACTATTTTTTGTGCTACTTTGACGACACACCAGATGAATGATCGTCTATTCATCCCAACGAGTGGCTGATTTCTCATCAAAATTATATTCCAGTTAACGAGCGTTCAGAACACCCAATACTCTTTTCAATCGAAAACATTAGAATTATGGCCCAAGCTATTTATGCTCTCATTAAAGTCTCTCAAAGTCACGCAGTAACGCGTAATCGAATCAAAACACAACATCCCGTAAGAACGCGAGCAAGCCTAGCGATAAATTTGCCGTGCGCACGCCGAGAGCCGAATTCCAGTGTTACGTCGCACTTAAAATTCCACAACACCGTTGCTGCTCCGGCGCATCGGCTAATTAATTTCAGACCGCATCACTAAGAGTTTATATGTCCGGGGATCAGGCTTCTATATTGTACGTCTCGCCCGTTATCCACTTACATTGGGATGCGTCGAGAAGAGCTCGCGTCGCACTCAGTTTCGGTAAAAGGCCGAGTAACTAGAAGAAAAGTTCGTTGCAAAACTATTCGCAGAGCGCGAACAGCTTCACGAGACGTTTACCGCAGTGTTGATACTACCTTAAATATGGCTTGCCGTGGACTTGTACTCGCACAGCAAGTCAGATTATACCTTGTGAAGTATGTGCGCGTGGTCTTTATTATCTCATGACTAGCACCGTTGTACGATTTAATCCACCTTTGTTTGTAACATGTAACGTCTACTGAGGTCAGAAGTTATTTCCTGCCTTCGCGTCAGTCTTCCTGTTTTCACTCAAGTTGGTACTTGGTAGTACCACGTAACTCATTAACAAATGGTAATTCTCTGAAACTCAAGGTGGAACTATTTGACGTACCGATAAATATGTGGGCGAGAATTAGATATTATTTAGCGTCCAGCTTTTGAGTTATCGTCAATAAACACTTGGGCTTTTCACAAGGGCTCTCGCGAGAATGACGGTGTCGGCGTCCAGCAATAACTGTAAGAGAAGGCTTATATCAATGAAAAAAACCATGCCCCTTTCTTCTCGAAACTAGACGAAATCCTGAAGTGTGGAAGGAATGGAAGCTGCAAATAAATAAATGAGAAAAGAACGAAAGAGGGAGGCATGATTAACCAGGTCAAAGAATTCTTCTCTACCTCTTTCCGCGGCTCCCGGCGCTTCTCCGAGCGAGCACGCATACACCCAGAGGCGTGACCGCCGTACAGCTATACAGCTACTGACGCGCGCGTGCGAGACTTGATGCATGGCAATGTCTGCGGTCTCTCTTTTCACTGCGCCTGCAGCCCGTTCGCTTCATAGACTGCTGACCGTGGGGGCGTTGAATTTCCAAGACTTGGATCCAAACTTTTTTCCTCCACCTTTTTACCGGAGCACATTCGTAGAAATTAAGCGATAGATACGGCTTGCTGCTAGCTGTATTTACCACATCAGTTTTATTAACAATCGCGTTCGTATTATCCGCGACGAAATATTCTTCATCGTTGGAGATAGTTTCAACACAGACGCTCTCCGCGGGAAAGGAGACTAACGTAGCACGAACTCTAAAAGTAAACGGAAACGTTCAAATTTAGTCGGAAAAGTTAGATGAAGGAAGCCGAAGTACGTCAGAGTAGAAAAATATAGTACCGCGAGCCGAATAACAACGATGCCAGAAAAGTATACAGTTGGACATACACGTTAGCTGTAGAAAGGAGAAGGTTGAAAGTTGAAAGCTAGTGCGGTTTGAGAATTATAATGTCACGTCGATAATAAATTATTTATTCTAAATTTATTCCGAAATTGTTGAAAAATCTCAAAGAACTTGAAAGAAAATTGAGACAATTCCAACAATCCTCATGCCAAAAGAGTATCTTTCAGGAGAGTAGGATAATAAGAATAAGAAAAGTCGAAAGAACAATGAGAATGAAAAATAATGTCAAGCCAGATGAATAAAGGCTCTTTCAACATTCAATTTTTCACGTTTTCTTCGCAGTAAGAATTCACTGCTGTTGTTGAAGTACTATTGAAATTAAAATGAAAAACCTTGTGCGCGTGGCCGACTGTAAAGTTTACTTTTGTTAACGCACACATAATTATTTTCAGAACAGACTTTCGCGCTAGAGATAATATTTTCGTCCGTTGTTTACATAAGAGTATGATTATCTTACATCCGCTTTATATAAAACATGTGACTGGAAAAGAATGCGGAAGTATTCGAATGAAAAATTAAGGAGAATCGTCGACGGAGTAGCGTCTGACCGCAGCGCGACCTTCTCCACTTGACTATGTGAAATTTTCATTTAAAGCACGTTACTGACATCGGCAACGTATATTCAACGAGTATTATCATATCTGAAATCATAAAATATACTACTTTATCCGAATTGATCTCGTGATGTAAACTAACACGAGAATTGAAAGAAATTATCACTAACGATAGATGCAGCCGAAGTGGATAAGCTCGTTGGGTATAGTGGTACGGAGGAGGAAGAGCAAGGAGACAGCGCTAAATGGCAGCCTCGTTAACCGCGAACATTAAGAAGACTAGATTGCCGAGAGAAAATTCAAATTGGCAGAGGCTCTCTCTCTCTCTCTCTCGACTCGGCTTTACTTTGCACCGCGTAAACGCAGCCTCTAATGAAGTAGCAGTCGACTGTGCTGCGCGACGTACTGCATTGTTCTTTCCCGTGTCTTTCCGAGCTTACTACTTGTTGTTGCGGTGTAATATAAGCTTATAACGCGAGCTGCATACGGGAGCTTTGTTGCTCGGTGGTGCGCGGGCGCTAAGTTGATCGGCCGCGCTGAATTAGGTTGCGCGCTGCTGGGCTTTGGCTTCGCTTGTCGCGATCATGTGTAATTACAAAATGCTCTGCTCCGTTCGGACAGTCGCCCGGCGTGTTCTATCGGCTTATCATGCAGTTATATTGTTTTGCATCGGGTTTTCCGTGCTGACGAACATAACTTCTGCACGCTTTAAAATATCACAGAGAAACTCATCTCAGTGA